TTATTTATTTTTTGCTGTACCCCCACATCAGACAGGCTGGGTCCAGCCCTGGCTAGTACACGGAATAGAGTTAGCATGTTCTCCTTGCGGTTACAAGGGTTTCCAACCATACTCCAGAGACACGTTGGTAGGCTAATTGGCTTTTGTCTAAATTGGCCCCCCAGCATATGTGTTTCAAATAGGGACTTTAGATTGTAAGCTCCTCGAGGGCAGCGATCGATGTGATGTACAGTATGTAAAGCAATGCGAAAACTGTCATCTCTATGTAAATGCCTGTAATAGATAATGGGCGGGTTCAATCGTTTACTTTCAAGTCCAAATTCAGAAAGGGAAAAAAAAAGACAACTTAATTGAAAACAGTCATATTTTTTGTTTTTGTCCTGCCTGGTTTGATGCGGAAATTTTGGGTTTTAGTGAACGTAGTGTAAAACCATGGCCAATAGTCTCAGGACGGGCGCAGGAACTGCCGGGTCAAAGCATGAGTAGTCACTATTGGGGGTGGATTAAGTGGCCACATCAATCCGTAATCTAGGCATAGTGGATATACTGTCAAATAGGCACAAAGAAATGATAATTGTAATGGACCCGGACCCCGACTGCACTTGGGTATTTCCGTTATCCTCCCGCTTCCCTGTCCGAACACAGATCCACGGACACCACCGCTGACCATACAAGACGAGACAACACTAGTCTTGTATTAAACCAGGAAATAGAATGCTTTATTTTAACACAGACACAAGATATATACATTCAAGGGAACAATTCTCCCCTCCCTGCCTAAGGACACAGGGCGGAGCAAACCAAATCTAGCAACAAGAAACACATTAACAGACACCCCAACCAAGCCAATACACAAACACATGCATCCCATAATAGTTTGCTCCCAAGCAAGACACACAATAGAACAATGGGATGCAATCACATAACACCAAACAATCCACAACCCCCCACCTCTTTCCTATACATGTCTACACAATATCAGGACAATTCACCCTGCGCCCCTAACAGGCACAGGGTGACTTACACATAGGAGGGATATGGGGAGCTGAGACAGGGGTCTCCCCACCTCTCCAAAGTGAGCTGTGTTCCATGGGCCCCCCCACCCAAAGTCACTCCCGTCACAGTAATCATGAGGGGTGTCTATGGGGGTAGAGGGGGGACTCCTGTTCTGCGAAAGGTGTGCGTCAGACCAATGAGTAGTCAAGAGCTGGAGGCAAGAATAATCAGTTTTCAAGGGCTGTGTGGATGAAGCAAGGGAGGTGAGAGGGGAATATATTTGGGAATGCAGGCAAGGTCGCCCACCTTCCCAAAAATGTCTTCATTAGTCAATGCAAATGAAACACATGGACACAATTTTATCCCATCTCTTTGTAGTTGACCAAAACCACCATTGCAAGTCTTCGATTGCCTTGCAATTTCAACAAAAAAAATGGAATCGAAAGACTCTACCAAAGTGCCCCATGTATAGGCAGCTCAAAACATTGGTGTCAGGTTCCCGATGGAAAGACGGATGGAGGAGAAAATTGAATGTTGTCATGTATATAGTCAACTGGTGCTAAAAGCATGGATATGAAAGTATGTAAAATTAAAGGCATATGGCAGTGGTCTCCAAACTGCAGCCTGTGGGCCGGGTGTGGCACTTTGCTTCCTTGGGGCATTTTTCCTTCAGCCTCTACAAGACGCTGTTCCTGCCTGAAGCCAATGGTGGGGATTTATTTCTCCAACTGACACCAATGATGAGGCGCTGTTTCCACTGGCACCAAATTTAATTTTTTTTTTTTTTTTTACTCCCACTGACCTCGAAGCCTGTGCCATGGTTTATTCCCACTGATGCCAGGGCATTTTCTACTCCCACTTGCCACAATTCGGCCCCCCTAAACTTTGAAGGCCACTAAACTGGCCCTTTGTTTTAAAAGTTGCAGATCCCTATATCACGTTCCTGGTGATGGAGGCCAATGAGAGAGGGCTTCCCTTGCGACTAGGTTCTGGACTCCCCTGAGAGTGGGACAGCGGGAGTCTGGCCCAAAGTTGCACAGGTCACCTGTAGGAGTGCTGGTTGGTGGTCCACTCAGAAGCACAGCTGATGCACGGGATGAGGTCTGCAGACAGGAGGCGCCTGTGCATGGTATGCAAGCCCTTCCGGGATTTAGATGTTTACTGGGTAGTCGGTTCAAGCCAAGGTCAGGTACCAGGTGGGAATCAGAGCAGACGTAGTCAGATGGGATAGCCGAGGTCATACACAGAGGAGCGAGAGAGAGAGAGTATCTGTAAGCCAAGCTGAGGTCAGATCAGGGGTAAAGTAGAGTAGACAGGTCCAGGAGCAAGCCGAGTCGGTAACAGGAAGTCGCAGGTCAAGAACAGGGCACGGGGAGCTAGAGATCATCCAGCAACTTGAGGAAATGATGAGCCTCCTTATTAAGGCCGACTGGCACCAAACTGAGGCTGATGTGTACTTCTGCGGCCATGTAGAGTACTGGCAGAAATGCCAGAACGTTTGCCGTGGACAGGACCCTCACACCCTAGCATATGGCAATGTAGAGCCAATCTTAACCCTTCCTCCCCTTACCATCTTGCACAGCCCTCTGTCTTTGAGCATGTGCATCTGCTAGAAGGGGAACAGTATGCAAAGCAGAGTCCGCCTGCTTCCATATAAGAAAGGAATCCTTCAAGCAGCACCAGCAAAACTGTCCTCCAAATGACTGACGTAGGTAAGTTGACATTTTATGTTGCAAATCCTTATACAACCTTCTTTGTTCTTCAATCCACAACTGCTACCAGACCAGGTCTTCCCAACTCCCACCACCAGGCCCTGGTTTTGTTGCTCATTTTTTACCTCATTTCTTATTATCTGTGAATATTTCTTATTATCTGAGATTTTGGGCATCGCTGTGCTGCATGGTAATGAACGTTACATGCATTGGTGTGCCTTTTCCTAAGAAGATATAAAAGCTGTGAGATGGAAGTAATAGTCAGGCGCTTGCATTTGCGACATCGGCCAGCCATAGATGGCTCCCATGTTTCTTTAACTGGTTTTCCTTTAAAGTGTGTGTTCGCCTTTTCAGAAAAAGAGAGAAACTAAATTTACATCCTACACCCAACCCCCTGGTCCCTACTGCACTTACCCCCATGGGCAGGGGCGGACTGACAACTCATGGGGCCCCCAGGCAATAGGGGATCTCATGGGGCCCCTGTGTCCTTGCTCAAACTCAAAAAAGCCTATGAAAAAGTATCAGAGATATCTCATAGGGCCCCCTACTGATCCCGGGCCCTCGGGCAGTGCCTGAGTTTCCAGTCCACCCCTGCCCATGGGTGATTAATTTTCACCATCCATGCAGCCCAGTGCAGCGGTCTTGGGGTTTGGAAGCCTGCTGCTCATTCTCTTCTTTCCCTAGGGACGACAGAACAGACCAGAGAGGTTCTAATTGGTCAGCATCGCTCTCTCTGGTGGAGAGTTTGGAATCTGATTGTTTGATTGCTCCTGTGGACAGGTGTCTTTTATACAGGTAACAATGAGATTAGCAGCACTCCCTTTAAGAGACTGCTTCTAATCTCAGCTTGTTACCTGTATGAAAGACACCTGGTAGCCAGAAATCCTGCAGAATGATAGGGGATCAAATACTGCTGAATTTTTTGTTGCTATTCTGTCTCTCAGTGTTACAATACACCGAACAGGGGCGGACTGACCATTTGGAGACTCGGGCACTGCCCGAGGTCAGTAGGGGGCCCCATGAGATGCCCCTGGTACCTTTTTCATAGGCTTTTTTTTAATTTTGAGCAAGGACACAGGGGCCCCATGATCCTCTATTGCTGGGGGGCCCATGAGTTGTCAGTCCGCCCTTGACACCGAACATTCGATTTTTAGATCGATCATTTCTTTGTGAGTGAGCAAACATTAAAAATCAGCAGGGGAGCAAATACGCATTTCCTTCACTGTAGCTATATAAAGTTTCTTCATGACCTTTGTGCATGGACCTCAAGTGGAACTTTGTATGGCACAATGGGTTAAAAGGGGCGGACTGACCATTTGGAAACTCGGGCACTGCCGAGGGCCTAGGGTCAGTAGGGGGCCCCATGAGATGCCCCTGGTACCTATTTCATAGGCTTTTTTGAGTTTGGGCAAGGACACAGGGGCCCCATGATCCCCTATTGCTTGGGGGCCCCATGAGTTGTCAGTCTGCCTCTGGGTCCTAACCCTCAAGGGGCATACAATCTCCCTGGGAGCGCAGCACCGCAATCCGGTGTCCACTGTGTCTTCTGGACACAGTGGAACACCGATCATCGGATGGGACCTCTGTGTGAGGTCCCGATCATGTGATCACTGATTGGCCAATCAGTGATCACATGCAGAGTAGAAAGCAAGATGTCACTTCTGTCGTCATTGCTTACTACGTGTGAAATCCTGTGAATGATCACAGAGATCACATGGTACAGGGCTATTCACAACAGCCTTGTACCATGTGACAAGCTGTGACCAATCACAGCTCACACAGTAGTTCTCAATGGCTGCAGGAATGCAGCCAGAGAGAAGGAGAAATTATTGCTTTTACAGCCTTTATGGGTGTAAAAGCAATCGGTGTAAAAAAAAAAAAAAATCTTCATCACCCCCCACAAGTAGTACAGTGTCACCATGGTGACCCTGTACTGCTAGGGTGACAGTATGTAAAAAAAAAAACATAAATAATAATATAAAAATTTTAAAAAAAAGTTTAAAAATTATAATTTTTGGTTATAAACTAATTTGGGTTATTTTTTTACTAAAAAGATAACGGAATACATTTTGGCCAAGATTTATGATAAAATACTATTTATTTCGCTGAAAGCTGAAAATTGGCCGGACTGGAAGGGGGTGAAAGTGTCCGGACTGGAAGTGGGTGAAAGTGTCCGAACTGGAAGGGGGTGAAAGTGTCCGGACTGGAAGGGGGTGAAAGTGTCCGGACTGGAAGTGGGTGAAAGTGTCCGAACTGGAAGGGGGTGAAAGTGTCCGGACTGGAAGTGGGTGAAAGTGTCCGGACTGGAAGTGGGTGAAAGTGTCCGGACTGGAAGGGGTGAAAGTGTCCGGACTGGAAGGGGTGAAAGTGTCTGGACTGAAATGGGGGGAAAGTGTCCGGACTGGTGGGTGAAAGTGTCCGGACTGGAAGGGGTGAAAGTGTCCGGACTGTAAGGGGTGAAAGTGTCCGGACTGGAAAGGGGTGAAAGTGTCCGGACTGGAAAGGGGTGAAAGTGTCCAGACTGGAAGGAGGGGAAAGTGTCCGGACTGGAAGGGGGTGAAAGTGTCCAGACTGGAAGGAGGGGAAAGTGTCCGGACTGGAAGGGGGTGAAAGTGTCCGGACTGGAAGGGGGTGAAAGTGTCCGGACTGGAAGGGGGTGAAAGCGTCCGGACTGGAAGGGGGTGAAAGCGTCCGGACTGGAAGGGGGTGAAAGCGTCCGGACTGGAAGTGGTTAAGCCAGTTGGATTTGTATGATCCACATGATAAATGTCGATGTATTAAAGGACAGATGATAAGCTGCTAGTTTAACATTCGTCTTTCTTGCTGACCGCACTCCGTAGCCCCCGGTACGGCCACTGCAAGCCAGGCTGGTGTGATAAATGAGGATGTGGTTGGGAAGAGATTTCAGAGATGGATGAGGAACATGTTGGGGGATCAATAAACATCATACAGGACACCAATGTGAGGTATGGCTGAGGGATAACGAGCTGCGGATCTCATACAGACGGTCTGTTGGGTTTTCTCTGGCAATGTTAAAGATGGAGTAATAATGGCGAATGGCGATGTAATCCTGGGGGTTCCAATCCATGGCTGAGATCTGAGCGGTCTGTAACCCCTGAACACGGGGGAGGCACTCGGACTCTGCGGGGGGCAGTGATTGCTGGTTGCTTCTTCTTCTCTTTGCCTATATTATAAGAAAATATTTAGGAGAAAATAATAGAATATTTAAGAAATGACCGATGTTGGCTTTGGAACATTTTAGTTAGTTTAAAGGAGGATCCGTGGTGTCCAAGGGCGGACTGACAACTCATGGGGCCCCCCGGGCAATAGGGGATCATGGGGCCCCTGTGTCCTTGCCCAAACTCAAAAAAGCCTATGAAAAAGGTACCAGGGGCATCTCACGGGGCCCCCTACTGACCCCGGGCCCTCGGGCAGTGCCCGAGTTTCCAAATGGTCAGTCTGCCCCTAGTGGTGTCACTACATGAGGTAAGCCGGGCCTGAGTGTTGCCACCTGGGGGGTCGGGGGAGGATCTGTAGCCCTGTGTAAGCCAGGGGACAAGATCGATCCTCTATGGCTGGAGCTACACATGAAAGTTACAAAGTATATCATCTGAATACATGAAGTCTACTTGTCGGGGCCTTTATGGACCTGCCTCGGGATTTCCATCATCTGGATGATGTTCCTGGAGTCCCTAGATAAAGAAGATAGTATGTCACACTTAACACTTTTCTGCAGGAAGCTGCCATTGTTGGTGTCACAAGCTGCATGTTATTCTAGGGCGGGGGGGGACACCAAACGTTCAAAACAAAAGGCCGACGTACTGTCCTCCAGACTTAAAGGAAGCTGGACTGTGGCCAGTAGGAGTAGAAAATGCCCCCAGTGTTGGTGAGAGAAAACCAGGGTCTCCAAACGTTTAAAACAAAGAGCCAGACTGTAGCCCTCTCTTCTCTCTCATTCTCTCTCTCTCTCCCCCCTCTCTCATTCTCTCCCCCCTCTCCCCCCCTCCCCCTCTCTCCCCCCTCTCTATCTCTCCCGTTCTCACCCCCTCTCTCCCTCATTCTCTCTCCCTCCCTCCCCCCTCCCTCTCCCCTCCCTCTCCCATTCTCCCCCCTCTCTCTTTCTCTCATCCCCCCCTCTCTCCCTCTCCCCCTCCCTCTCTCTCATTCTCTCTCTCCCCCTCTCCCCCCTCTCTCTCTCCCTCCCTCTCTCATTCTCACTCCCCCCCCCTCTCTCATTCTCACTCCCCCCCTCTCTCTCTCATTCTCTCCTCCCTCCCTCCCCCCTCTCTCTTATTCTCTTTCCCTCTCTCATTCCACCCCCCCCCCCTCTCTCTCTCTCATTCTCTCTCTCCCCCTCTCCCTCTCATTATCTCTCCCCCCTCTCTCCCTCTCTCTTTCCCAACTCTCTCTCCTTTTCTCCCTCCCTCATTCTCTCACTCCCTCCCTCCATCCCTCTCATTATCTCTCCCTCCCTCTCCCTCCCTCTCTCATTCTCTCTCTCTCATTCTCTCTCTCCCCTCTCTCATTCTCTCTCTCATTCTTTCTCTCCCCCCCTCTCTCATTCTCTCCCTCTCTCATTCTCTCTCTCCCCCTCTCTCTCTCCCCCTCTATCATTCTCTTCTCTCTCTCGTTCTCACCCCCTCTCATTCTCCCTCTCTCCCCCCCTCTCTCCCTCCCTCTCTCTCTCCCTCTCTCGTTCTCTCTCCCTCTCTCATTCCCCCCTCTCCCCCCTCTCTCTCCCTCTCCCCTCCCTCTCTCTCATTCTCTCTCCCCCCCTCCCCCCTCTCCCTCCCTCTCATTCTCACTCCTCTCTCTCCTTCTCTCCCTCCCTCATTCTCTCCCTCCCTCATTCTCTCCGTCCCTCTCTCCCTCCCTCTCTCATTATCTCCCCCTCCCTCTCTCTCCCTCCACCCTCTCTCATTATCTCTCCCATTCTCTCTCCCTCCTCTCTCATTCTCTCTCTCTCTCTCGTTCTCTCTCTCCCCCCTCTCATTCTCTCTCTCCTCTCTCCCTCATTCTCTTTCTCCTCTCTCATTCTCTCTCATTCTCTCTCCTCTCATTCTCTCCCTCTCTCCCCTCCTCTCTCTCTCTCTCCCTCTTTCTTTCCCCAACTCTCTTTCTTCCTCTCTCATTCTCTCTCGTTCTTACTCTACTTTAAGCTTTAGGGAGGCCCAGATTGTGGCCAGTGGGATTAGAAAATGCCCCAGAGTCAGTTGTGTACATAATGTCATTCATTGGTATCAGTGGGAGGAATAGTGCCCCATCATTGGTGTCAGTGGGAGGAATAGTGCCCCATCATTGGTATCAGTGGGAGGAATAGTGTCCCATCATTGGTGTCAGTGGGAGGAATAGTGCCCCATCATTGGTGTCAGTGGGAGGAATAGTGCCCCATCATTGGTGTCAGTGGGAGGAATAGTGCCCCATCATTGGTGTCAGTGGGAGGAATAGTGCCCCATCATTGGTGTCAGTGGGAGGAATAGTGCCCCCATCATTGATATCAGTGGGAGGAATAGTGCCCCATCATTGGTATCAGTGGGAGGAATAGTGCCCCATCATTGGTGTCGGTGGGAGGAATAGTGCCCAATCATTGGTGCCAGTGGGAGGAATAGTGCCCCATCATTGGTATCAGTGGGAGGAATAGTGCCCCATCATTGGTATCAGTGGGAGAAATAGTGCCCCATCATTGGTATCGGTGGGAGGAATAGTGCCCCATCATTGGTGCCAGTGGGAGGAATAGTGCCCCATCTTTGGTGTCAGTGGGAGGAATAGTGCCCCATCATTGTTGTCAGTGGGAGGAATAGTGCCCCATCATTGGTGTCAGTGGGAGGAATAGTGCCCCATCATTGGTGTCAGTGGAGGAATAGTGCCCCATCATTGGTGTCAGTGGGAGGAACAGTGCCCCATCATTGGTGTCAGTGGGAGGAATAGTGCCCCATCATTGGTGTCAGTGGGAGGAATAGTGCCCCATCATTGGTGTCAGTGGGAGGAATAGTGCCCCATCATTGGTGTCAGTGGGAGGAATAGTGCCCCATCATTGGTGTCAGTGGAGGAATAGTGCCCCATCATTGGTGTCAGTGGGAGGAACAGTGCCCCATCATTGGTATCAGTGGGAGGAATAGTGCCCCATCATTGGTTTCAGTGGGAGGAACAGTGTCCCATCATTGGTGTCAGTGGGAGGAATAGTGTCCCATCATTGGTGTCAGTGGGAGGAATAGTGTCCCATCATTGGTGTCAGTGGGAGGAATAGTGCCCCATCATTGGTATCAGTGGGAGGAATAGTGCCCCATCATTGGTGTCAGTGGGAGGAATAGTGTCCCATCATTGGTGTCAGTGGAGGAATAGTGCCCCATCATTGGTGTCAGTGGGAGGAATAGTGCCCCATCATTGGTGTCAGTGGGAGGAATAGTGCCCCATCATTGGTATCAGTGGAAGGAATAGTGTCCCATCATTGGTATCAGTGGGAGGAATAGTGCCCCATCATTGGTATCAGTGGGAGGAATAGTGCCCCATCATTGGTGTCAGTGGGAGGAATAGTGTCCCATCATTGGTGACAGTGGGAAGAATAGTGCCCCATCATTGGTGACAGTGGGAGATATACCATGCCCCAAGGGTTAGATAAAAGCAAGCAAAGGGCCACATCTGGCCCCAGACTACTAGAGTAAACACTGCCTCAGGCCTGGTGTTGGTGGGAGTAAAACATACCATAGCATTTGTTCTCATTAGGAGGAAATTTCATGCCCCATCATAGCTATAAGTTTGTGCCCAGAAGGTGGTCAGTATGTGCTGCTTACAATGGGCCTAGATAGACCACGGCTTCTTACCCTGAGCCACGAATGTAAGAGGCACTTCACTGCGTACCACCAACATAATGGAAGCACTCCACTGTGGACTACCACTGTAGGGGGGTAACTTCATCCCTGACCATCAAACTAGGAGGACACATCTCCACTGACCACCTACCTACGTTACAACACCATTGATACTGACTACTGACACAAGGGGGGCACATCCCCACTGACCATCAACCTACCTTACAACACCATTGACCACTGACACAAGGGGGGCACGTCACCACTGACCACCAACCTACCTTACAACACCATTGACTACTGACACAAGGGGGGCACGTCATCACTGACCACCAACCTACCTTACAACACCATTGACTACTGACACAAGGGGGGGCACATCCCCACTGACCACCAACCTACCTTACAACACCATTGACTACTGACACAAGGGGGGCACGTCACCACGGACCACCAACCTACCTTACAACACCATTGACTACTGACACAAGGGGGGCACGTCACCACTGACCACCAACCTACCTTACAACACCATTGACTACTGACACAAGGGGGGGCACGTCCCCACTGACCACCAACCTACCTTACAACACCATTGACTACTGACACAAGGGGGGGCACATCCCCACTGACCACCAACCTACCTTACAACACCATTGACTACTGACACAAGGGGGGGCACGTCACCACTGACCACCAACCTACCTTACAACACCATTGACTACTGACACAAGAGGGGCACGTCCCCACTGACCACCAACCTACCTTACAACACCATTGACTACTGACACAAGGGGGGGCACATCCCCACTGACCACCAACCTACCTTACAACACCAT